TCACAGAGGAAGGACCAAGGCAGAAGCGGGCGAGGGTGAGTCCCCTAATCGATCGGTGAGCATTTATCAGAAGAGTGAGAGAAAACAAGAAAAGCGAGCACCAGGACCGAAAATAGTAAGGAGAGGTGATTGGAGAGAAACGGATGGAGGGCCGAGGAAAGAAGAGACGCGGGAGAAGACATTGAAACAGACGGCTTACAATAATCAGGGTAACAAATGACGAAAGGTGGAGAAGCAGAGAATTCGGAAGGAGATGGAGAGAGAGAGAGAGAGCTACGTCAGTGAAGTATAAATACATCAGGTACTGCGCAGACCAGAACCGATATCGGACATTCAAAAAAATGAGGATTGTAACGGCGAGAAATCAAGAACGGTCGGTTACCTGGTACTCGGACGTTGGTGGTGGCAGTGTTGTGAGCATTGTTTGGTTGCACAGACGGTGGACAGGCATCCGAGGAGGTGTTGGGAGCAAGGGGCGTACCGTTTGCCGACATATAGCTAACCGGTGGAGCGGCATTGGCGTAGGGATCTGGAAATGGGAAAGAGTGATAAGAAATTAAGTTGTCACAAACGTTGCAATCCCACTGCGCAGACGAAAGGGCAGTTATTAGTTAACCGCAGAACCCACCGCATACACATATACACAAGTAAAGAACATGACATATAAATCCTGCGTGCCAATGCGAGAGGCGAAATTTTCACACAAACACATACATTCACATACGCACATGCCACTCGCTCTTAATTATGGTAGAAGAATAGGAAGGTAAAAGGCATCTCCACATTAGAGTGCCGACGACTATTTGCAGACCATATCACAACAGCGTGGTGGCGAGAATGAGCGTCACAAAACTGCACGGTTGAGAAAGTAACGCGAGAGGGGCCTTAATGGCTGCGCAGGTTGACTAGAATAGACGCGCGCGCGAGTAGCCAATGTTGTTAGAAAGAGGCCATTACGCGGTACTTCAAAGAAGGACATTACTAGGTCCTGCGGTTGGGGAGTTTCAAAGCCACACCTCAAAGGCGAATATTCGGCTCGCGCTGGTTAAAACACGTTCGAGCTGTGCTGCAGGCCCTTCTCTGGGCAACATTTATGAAAAATTCTTGGACCAAGAAAAACTCTATTCAAGTTATATGGTGAAAATGCAATAGCTTTAGATGTCAGTTTTTGCAAAGCTGATATAATTGCAAAAATTTGGAACCCAACTTGAAGCTGCAAATGTGACTAGAGGTTTCAAATCTCCATGTTGTAGAAATGGGCACCCTCTTAAACTATGCCATAAGTTAAGTGATGAAACCCCTGCAAAC